AGGGTGAACAAAACTGTAAAATGCTACACTCACACCTAGTTTTAACCACCGAGCTCTATTTGGTTCCATCTAAATATTCCATGTGAGGCTTTATAAGTTAGGGGCAAAAAAAAAAAAAAAAGAAAATTCTTTATTTACAAATAACAAACGATTTCAATGGAAAAAAAAAATACTTCGTACTTAGGAATGCTTCTTGGAACCCATTCCTGGTTTAAATAAGCTCCCAGTGCAGATGGGTTTTACAGCCTGTCTAGACAGAGCTGGAAATACTTACGGCAAGCATTTTTTTAAAATTTTTTATTTCTTTTCAGCGTAACAGTATTCATTGTTTTTGCGCCACACCCAGTGCTCCATGCAATCCGTGCCCTCTCCAATACCCACCACCTGTTTCCCCCAACCTCCCACTCCCCGCTTTTTTTTTTTTTAAATCTTAGGAACTCTTCTTACGTTTCCAAGAATCATCACAAGTAAGTGACGCTGGTGGAAGCAAAATGACTTAAAGAACAACTCAGGCCCCAATGACATTGACTGTGAAGACCGAGAGATCAATTATATACGGAAAGTTCAGTGTTTACTTATTATTTATTTATTTATTTACTTATCTTTAAGGTAATCTCTATGCCCAACATGGGGCTTTGAATTCATGACCCTAGAAAGAGTCACATGCTCTACCTATTGAGCCAGCCAGGCACACCCCCTGCCCCCCAAAAAGCTGGTCTTTAAACAGAGAAGAGCATTTCTCCAGATACACCAGCCAGGACAAAACTTGAAATGTCAGGTGTGGTTCACCCACTGAGATGTCTGCACCACACTTGTTCCAACAGCGCTCTCCATTCCACACTGTCTGTGACCTTCAAGTGCGGACACACGGCACCCGCCTTTGGCTGTTCCACAGAGCACCTTGGTCCAGGGGCTGTCCGGTATGGGAGTCAGTGGTTTTCCATTACTTACAAACCCATGTTGATATTAAACATAAACGTAATCCCCATAAGCTTTCCAGTCCTCAGCCTATAGGATAGGATGGGATTAAAACCAAAGTGAATTCAGGGAAGACCCAACTGTTTTGAACAAGTAACATAAAAGTGATTGCACAATTTGGACTCACTTAATTTTGTGTCTGACTACAAAATGATCCTTGTGAAGAAAATAGGACTTGAAGGAAACTGAATGTCTGTGGAAAAAAGTATGCCTAAATACAGTCAGTACTTGGTAATGAAACGATAGCCGACTAAATGACAAGTAATCCAGTAGACTGTTGAAGTTTTAGATCCATGAAAATATGCATGGCTATTTTTTTTTTTTTTTTTTTTTTTTTAGAAAGAGAGCAGGAGAGGGGAGAAGGTCAGTGGGAGAAGCAGACTCCCTGCAGAGCTGGGAGCCTGATGTGGGACTCGATCCCAGAACTCCAGGATTATGACCTGAGCTGAAGGCTGTCGCTTAACCAACTGAGCCAACCAGGTGCCCCTGCATGGCTATTTTTATGTTTTACACAGTAGGTAATCTTAAGCAGTGTGAAGCACATTCTTGTGAGGACAATCATACCATCTGAGGAACTCGCTGGCACTAATTCTGAATTAGTCATTTCTATATTCTTATTTGTATAGGTTTTCACATATCAGCTTAGGTATCAGTTCAAAAATTTACCTACTTTTTTTTTTTAAGATTTTATTTATTTATTTGACAGAGATAAACACAGAGAGAGAGGGAACACAAGCAGGGGGAGTGGGAGAGGGAGAAGCAGGCTTTCCACCAAGCAGGGAGCCTGACGCGGGGCTCAATCCCAGGACCCTTGGGATCATGACCTGAACCCAAGGCAGATGCTTAACGACTAGCCACCCAGGCACCCAAAAATTTACCTTCTTTAATATGGAATTCCCAACATTTCCAGAGTACTCAGAAGTCAGATTTTTTTTCTTCTCTAAGATTAGCTTGGACAGAATTAAAATGGTCTGTTTCTTTGATCCCACTAAAATATGAGAAAGTCACCTGATACAGAACAATAATTATTTTCACAACAATTCTTTTGCAGACAAATCCTTGGAGAATTAACGTGAATTCCCCTTGATTTGGGCTGCTCTTCCCTCCCTGAGGCCGGGCAGATCCTACACTGGTTGGTCTGGGGTCTCCCCTAGAGAAGGCTCTGTGGCTTCCCCTCTTGGTGGAAATGACTTTGGTTCAAGACTATGAAACCGCACAATCCAAGAAATGCAAGTCACCGGGGTGGCCCAGAATTAATACAGTTTCTCGGGGACCTTTTAACTGACGGTGTTCCCAGGATGAAACCAGAATTCACTTTTAATTATTTCTTTACTTTGGAGATGAAGTAGAATAGGATCTGCCTGACCCATTTGGTCCCCTAAACCTCCTTCACATTGGATTTCTGCATGTAAGTCTGGAGAATACACCGAGATGAGAACAACCTGATATAAAGAATGTGAGAATCAGAAGAAGTCCAAGTGCCAGTTAAACTTGTCCCCTATCAAAAAAGTCTGTCTTTTTTTGTTTTTTAAAGACTTTATTTATTTATTTATTTGACAGAGAGTGACACAGCAAGAGAGGGAACACAAGCAGGGGGACTGGGACGGGGGGAAGCAGACTCCCTGCCTACCAGGGAGCCCAAGGCGGGGCTTGATCCCAGAACCCTGGGATCATGACCTGAGCCGAAGGCAGACGCTTAACAACTGAGCCACCCAGGTGCCCCGAAAAAAGTCTATCTTGAAGATAAAAAAAGTTATAAGGATGGATGTTGATGCTGGTAACAAAACAGTGTGAATGTCTTTAATGTCACTGAACTGTACATTTAAAGATGATTAAATTGGTAAATTTTATGTTATGTACATTTTGCCTCAATAAGTCAGTCAGTCTTATACTGGTATTCATACACATGTATGGACACATATTGTCAAAATTTAAGTGAGAAATATATTCTAAAACCAGAAAGGGACAGGGTGCCTACGTAGCTCAGTCAGTTAAACCTTCAACTCTTGATCTCAGCTGGGTCTTGAACTCAGGATTGTGGGGTTTGAGCCTTGCATTGGGCTTAAATAAAATTTTTTTTAAAAATCAGAAAGGGACTTGGGGCGCCTGGGTGGCTCAGTGGGTTAAGCCACTGCCTTCAGCTCAGGTCGTGATCTCGGGGTCCTGGGATCGAGTCCCACATCGGGCTCTCTGCTCGGCAGGAAGCCTGCTTCCCTCTCTCTCTCTGCCTGCCTCTCCATCTACTTGTGATCTCTCTCTGTCAAATAAATAAATAACATCTTAAAAAAAAAATCAGAAAGGGACAAGTACATATGTTTTCATTTTTGCCGTAATTTTCTCATCATTTAAAACATATAAGGTTAGAAAAACATTAATGTTGGCATCACACAGGAAATTCACCTCCAAGTTACTGCTGGCCTTTAAATGTGGTGCTAAATTTATACACATTTCCTTCTAATTAGTTTGTTACTCATTGTACGACTGAATTAAAAACAAAACCAAAAACACCCAGTACCTCCTCCCTTAAAATCTTGCTTGGACGACTTCCCAAAACACAGCAACTATTCACACGTTGTTGGTTTTTTACTTTCCTTGTATCGAAATGCCCTTTTTTCACAATTTGGTCTCACCCCACCCTGCCCTGCACCCCCCAACACAACATTAAGGATAAACATGATTGGTTAATAGATCACAGAGCGATAGGCTGCCCATCCCTGGGGAGAAGCTTTTCCTTTCAATCCTGGACTGATGTGGAAATCACTAGATTGGGGAAGGAGACGCGAGGTCAGTGGTCATGTCCAAATGGCAGGTAGGTGCCCGGACAGCTCGAATGGAAGCGTAAGTCTAGAAGAGACAATCCAGGAATATCACAGCAGCCTGCAGCGGTCTGTCGTCACATCTGCTCATGAACACAAAGGATGGAGTTCATTTTTTCTTCTCCCAGTGACAGATCATGGGGATAGCTTTGGACAGGACCAATGGAATGACAGGAGTGATACAAAATCATAGACACTTCCAAGCAGGAATGCACTGTAAAAATCAATTAAGAACTCCTAAAAAAAGAAAAGAACTCCCATTTCTTGTGGCTATCAAGGTAACACGAAGTCCCTTGGTTTGAGATGATTGCTTTCCAGCTCTTCAACCAGAAAACGAAATGACACAACATACCATCGGTGTCATACCGTCTAGCTTAAGTAGGACGCTGATTATCCTCAGTACAAAAGAATCTGGATGCTATCTTCATATACCACAGCATGTAATGTCCCTTATTTTATTTACAGAGGACACAGTATGAAAATGGGAGAAAACATTAGCATCAAAAATGTTAAGTCACTCTTAGAACGGATTTGTACCTTTGAAGTAGTATAACATTGGCCAAGGTTTAAAAAGTTATTTTGTATTTATTGAAATTCAAGACAGACCAGCAAAGTACCTTCAAAATAAAGATTAACAAAATAAACTAGAAAACTATTTCTGAAATAAAAATGACTAAAAAGTAGTTAGCTTGAGTTTGTTAGTTGTCAACTGTTGCTCTAACACGTTACCAGAAACCTAGTGACTTAAACCACATAAATGCATTATCTTATAGTTCTGTGGGCTAGAGATCTGACACAGGCTGCGCTGGGCTAAAATCTGGAGGCTCTAGGGAAGACTCTGTTCTCTTGCCTTTTCTGGTTTTCAGAGGCCAACCCCAATCCTTGGGTCATGGCTCCTTCCTCCATCTTCAAAGCCAGAAATGTTGTATCTCCCTGTTCTGTATTTCACATTTTCCTTTGGCCTTGACATTCTTCCAATTCCCTCGTCCCCGTTTTTAAGGACCATTGGAATTATACTGTGCCCACCTAGAACCCAGAATAACCTTCCTATTTCCAGGTCAGATTAGTACCTTAATTCCACCTGCAACCTTATTCTTCTTTGCCATTTAACCCAACGTATCCACAGGTTCTGGAGATTAGGACATAGACGTGGTGGGGGTTGGGGCGGCATGATTCTAGTTACCACACGTTAAATACACATGTAAATAAATACACCACAGTTTAATGTTTTGTAATAGTTCAGTAATTGTCATTCAGTTGCCTTAACCTATAGAATTAATCTTTTTTACCCATATAAAACAGATTGGACTGGACGGATGCAACAGTAACCAAAAAAACATAAAGCGATATAAAACAAATTGTACAACATTGCAAAGTAGTGATTATTTGTGTATGTGTTCATCTATGTATATACAAAACTATACAATGTATACACACGTGTATATGTGTGTATACACACACACACACAAACACACACATGACTTTACAGTTAATCAAGTGGTTCTAGAAAAATCAATATACTGTAAAGATTCCGGGGAAGGTAATGCTTCTAAAATAAGGCCACACTTGTGAAGATCCAAAATCAGTCAAAGACAAGGTTCCTAACGAGAACATCAAGGTTAGAGACAAAGTCTTTCCTGTTCGTCCTTTTTCCCTTTTCCTCTCAAATTTTTCCTGTTGTACTGCCCAAATTTGCCGTCCTTGTGCCCTGAAAAGCCTGCCCCATGTGAAATGACCAGAGCCCATATGAACAAGGTCAAACCACCAACCCACAAATATTAGTGAGGCTGGTCTGGAGGAAATTGCTGGAAAACAAAGGAACGCCATTCACGCAGTCCTGTGGCCAGCGCACCTGCCCCTCCAGAGAAGAAGGTCCTCAGCCTTTCAGGGGCTGCAATGCTACCTTTGGTTTTCCCTCTGGACTTTCCTTGAAAGTGTGCCTGCTGTCACTGGCGAGAGCTGGTGCCCAGTCCACACCAGACTTAAAAGACAGGAACGTGGTAGTGGCGGTCATTCTCCGTCAGCAGGGAGATCTCTGGCCACTCCCTGGGCGGCAAGTCTGGGTAGCAGACCTCGAAGTCTCTGCAGTTAAACTTGAACAGTCTGAACACTTTGATCTTTATTTCAAGGGAGTGTCCAAGAATAAACATATCGATCTGCAGAAGAGAGGAAAAAGAGGTTACGAACACACATCTCCAACTCCCGTCCCCTAGCAGAGGAGGGAGCGCGTTCTCCTGCAGCTTAGGGAGGAATGAGTAATGTGCTTACTTAGATCCACGCATGAACCACTGAGAGCCGCAGTCAGGAATACACGTCCGCAACGTGGAAGGCGAGGGAAGGCAGGGGAACATCTTTGTAGACTAGCATGAAAAAAAGCTGTTTTGGGGAGTAGGGGAACAACTACTAAAAATGAAGGAATGCTCAGAAGAAAAAAGTCACTTTTCCCAACTAGTTTTATATCAATTTTGATAAGAATACCAGGTAATTTTGTACATTGCTTAAGTGAATAAAGCAAGACAAAACCTCTTTACGACGGGGATAAGAAATTATTCTCTGGATGGAAAATTTTCTTTTCTTCTTTTTTTTTTTAAAGATTGGATTCATTTATTTATCTGAGCATGTGTGCATGAGCAAGGAGAGAAGCACAGGGAGAGAGGGACAAGCAGGCTTCATGCTGAGCATAGAGCCTGATGCGGGGCTTGATTTCACAACCCTGAGATCATGACCTGAGCCAATAACAGGAATCGGGCACTTAACTGACTGAGCCACCCAGGAGCCCCTGGACTTAACATTTTTCAATAATTTTTTTAAGTTCAAGTTCACTTATTGTTTTTAGTAATCTCCACACCCAACGTGTGGCATGAACTCATGACCCTGAGATCAAGAGTTGCATGCTTTCCCAACTAAGCCTGCCAGGTGCCCCTAACATTTTTCAATAATGTCTATTTATCTTCAGCAAGGAACCAAATGCCTTCCCAAACTTCATCTCATTTTCCAACAGGACTTTCTCCTGGTTCAACTCTGTTGTGGGAGAAGCTGCCACCATCTGGGAGGCAGAGTGAAAGGTTAGAAAGGCTTCCCACCCTGGGGCTCTCTGGTCCCGGCTGAGAAGACACAGCAAACAGCATGGAGCCGTGAGGCTTATTCCTCTTCTTTCCCTTCTTCTTCTTTTTTTTTTTTTTTAAAGATTTTTATTTATTTATTTGACAGAGATCACAGGCAGGCAGGGGTGGGGGGGAAGCAAGCTCCCCGCTGAGCAGAGAGCCTGAGTCGGGGCTCGATCCTAGGACCCTGAGACCATGACCTGAGTCAAAGGCAGAGGCTTAACCCACTGAGCCACCCAGGCGCCCCTCTTTTCCTTCTTTTTAAGGGTCAGTGATATCAACCCATTACCTCTTTGCAGTGGGTTTTCTCACTGCTGAAAGGAAATTCCAGACACCTGTGCGTTCAAGGACAGCCAGTATCGTCCTGAATCAAACACACAGGGTTCTTCTGCCCCCATTACCTGCTCCAGTCCACACGTGTCGCCCACAGGATTCAGGTGGTTCATCATGAAGCTTAAAGGGTCAGATGATGTTTCCCGGGCAAACAGGAGTTGAAAAAGACTGGGAATGACCTTGTTAGTCTTCATTTGTTCATAAACTTCAGTGACTTGATAGAGCATGATAAACTTTAAAGCTTCATATAGTTTATATTCCAGAAGAACATCAGAAAAAAGGATGTTGCACATACTTCCTCTTTTGTGGTAATCTTTAATTCCACTAAATTCAGCCCACTAAAAATACAGATGTAAAAAGGAAATTTATAGGGGAAAAGTGAATTCCTACACCATGGCATCATTTTTAAAGTACTTATAAAAATAAACCAAAGATTAATAGAGGGGAGCTTGAACTTCTCATTTTATAGCTCTTGACCCTGATTTTTTGTTAACCACACATATGTGTTACCTTTACGATCACAAACCAGTTTAAATGAAACATTTTTTAAAAAAAGCACTGTCAACTTCGTAAAATGCCAAGCAAGTGAGTTTCCTGACAGCTTAAGATAGTTGGGTCACACAGAAGAGACTCCAGAGATAAACAGTACTAACTAGTACTCTTTACCACTCACTTGCCAAGCACAGATTAAAACACTCCACAGACATGAACTCACTGAAGCCTCACCATGACTGTAAAGGGAACACGATTTACATATCAGTTTTACAGACCAGGAAACTGTGGCACAGAAATGCTATGGTTATCTACCAGGGAGAGTTCATTTCAACAATCCAAAATCTGTGTCTATTAAAAGGCAGGAAAAACTCTTAGTTCAAATTATAGCATCTGTGCTATCCCCAAATTATTAATGGGTACATCCCAGAAGGGCATTTCTGAGTGCCCTGCCTGGACTGTGCACCCCATCTTTCGAGGGGAAACAGGTACGTGAGTGTTAAGGTTTCCCAGAGAGCCCACAAAGGCCTCCTTAACCCATAATGTCCTCATTGTCACGTACAACATGGCTTGTTCATTACTTGGAAGGGGAAAGAACAGGAAAGCCAATCTCTACTTCCTAGAAGAGATGCTCCTAGCCACGTGTTCCCCTTACGTGGAATTGAGTGACATGCCTGACAGAGAAGGGTCACTACATCTGGGGGGCGAGCTTTCATTCCTAGTCTTTTCCTCCCCCAGAACACTCACCTGTGTTTTCAATAATTCCACACATTTACGTAATTTTCCAAACACGTTGGAACCTGTATACTTCTCAGGACCAAAACTGTATTGCTGGATCCAATTACAACCTTGTGAAAAGAGCAGTTTTTCAGGAAGCTTGAAAAGGAAGTAGATGCCAGCCACGATTAGTACCTCAACATTTATGGCCCACAATTCAGAATACGTCACGGTGTATGATCTTACCTCCCTTAGCAATCTCCATTTAAAAACACGACAACAACAATTAAATAAAAGCATATCATTCCTTCTTTTCAATTTGTGGATTATAGGATTTGGATCAGATTCTTAATTTATAATTTTACAACTGATAAAAACATACATGAAGACTGTGTCTAAGGAAACAATCTTTCTGCATAAAACACTTCCTAAACTGCCTAGTTATATCCCTTTAGATATTATTTTTGCCCAAACAATGGTAGAACACCATGGTTCGTCAGGAGGCACGTGGACTTTAGAATGAGGTGCTGGGGTCCGATCTGCGCACTGTCACTTACCAGCTCAGAGACTGTTCAACCGGGCCCGATCACTTACTCTCTTGGCCTCACTCTCTACCATAAATCAAGGACAATGCCACCCACTTTACAGGCCCTTGTTGGGATTAAATAAGATTACAGAATACATAAGACTCTGATCAGTGAAGGGATCTAATCCATTTTCCCACCCCACTGAGACTGGGGAGCCCAGTGGCTTGGTTATAGTCTCTGTCTTCAGCAGGTAGCAGGCCTAGCCCACCATGCACACTTGACAAGTACTTGCTAGATAAAAATGAAACTAATAAAAACAAGTGTAATTTTTTTAAATGGCAAGGAAATAGACCATATATAGTTACATATATTCATATACTTTATATTTCCGTGCTCCTCCGTCCTTAAATGTACGTCCTAGATTAAACACCCTACATTCAAAATAAAAATTCAGGTTGTTCATCAAGAGTGTTCTGCCTTTGAAAGAAAGGAAGGAAAAAAGGAAGGAACGAATGAACAAATGATGGATGTACTACCTTACACTCTTAAAATGAAAGAAAAACAAACAGGGCACAAACTGGGAGAAAATATTTGCAAATCACATATCTGATAAAGCACTTATACTCAGAATATATACAGAACTCTCAGGGCACCTGGGTGGCTCAGTCATTAAGCATCTGCCTTCAGCTCAGGTCATAATCCCAGGGGTCCTGGGATCAAGCCCCATGTCAGGCTCCCTGCTTGGCAGGAAGCCTGCTTCTCCCTCTCCCACTCCCCCTGCTTCTGTTCCCTCTTTGGCTGTCTCTGTCAAATAAATAATTAAAATCTTTTTTTTTTTTAAAGAACTCTCAAAATTCAGTCGATAATAAAAGTAAAAATTTTAAAATAAAGCAAAAAAAATAAAAAATAAAATTAATAAAAATGTGCAAAAGACTTCAACAGACACTTCTCCAAGAAGATAACATGGAAAGACATTCATCCTTCCACCTAGAGGAATGCCGACTAAAAGCAGTGATACCAGTGAACGCCTATCGGAATGGCTAAAAATAACCCCAAATCAATCCTGGTTAGAATGTGGAACAACTGGAACTCTTACACTTTACTGGTGGAAATGCAAAAATGGCAGAGCCACACTGGAAAACAGATGGCAGGTTCTTATGAACTTAGACCTATACCTACCACATGACCCAACAATGTCTCTCCCAGGCATTTGCCGAAAAGGAAAAAATCCTGTATGGAGATATTTATAACAGCTTTAGTCATAGTTGTCAAAAACTGGAAATAATCCGGATGTCCTTCAAGTGATGAACGGACAAACAAGCGGTGTCATACTCATGTCAAGGAATAGCACTCAACAATAAAGAGGAATGAACTACAAGTTCACGTGGCCTGGGCGGACGGCAGTGCATTCTGCTAAGTGAAAGAAGTCAGAGCCAAAAGGCTACACGTGGATAGTTCCATGTGCTGGACATTCTGGAAAAGGCAAAAATGATAGGGACGTAAGACCTATCAATGGTGCCCCCCGAGCTAGAGGTGAGAGAAGGGCTGACTATTAAGGCATGGGGTGGGGGGGATCTCTGGTGCGCTCTACGGGTTTGTCAAAACTCGAGTACGTGTAGAGTAAAAAAGGGAATTTTAGTAGACCACCTTGCTTATGAAGGACAGATGTCCTTCTTGAGAAAAGATGGCGACATTAAAAAGAAACAACACTGAGTAGGACAGCCTCTCTGAGATGGACGGGGTATGTTGGGCCTTCGAAGGCTCCTTCAATCTCAGGACGCACAGAGCCGCCCACGGAAGACCCAGCCACCTGCACAGCAATGCTTATCGACCCACCGTTCCCCCTTGTTTCTGGCGTGTGGATGTACCTTCACGATGTCTTTCTCTTTCATCCAGGACGGAAAGGAGAGGCCCTGGCTGAAGACCTGGAACAGCACTGACCTCAAGGCATCATAGTTGTCTCTCCTCACTTGTCGGACACATTTGATGTGATGCCGCCAAAACAGCTCCTCGTAAGCCTGTTCGCACAAAAGGAAGTTGGTTTTCAACTCCTCTGGATAAGAGAATAAACAAAATGAATTCACTGTACCGTCAGTGGGGAATGCCTCCCCAATGAAGTGGACGACAGAAATGAAACAATTTCAAATTATGAATATGACCGCGTGTCATTTTAAAGGGACTTCCCTGTGTATTGAGTCCATGTCCTGCTCTTCCAGTCGGTGAATTCCTGGAAGCCCAGGGCCAGGGAATATCACTTAGGGGAGATGATGGCTTCAACTGGGCCACAGTGAAACAAAAGCACTGGATACATTTGAGACCGCGCTAAAGAGTACTGGAAGCGAACCTCTCTTGCTGCCAGCAAGGCTGGACGCCACCGCTGAGAGGAGCTACCAGGCCTGGTGCAATGGGCAATTCGAAAAATCCTCAAAATCTTTTACATCCGGGTAAGGAAGTCTCCCCTGCATGTGGAGATGGGCCATAGGCCTGGGATGGGGGGAGAGGCAGGGCTGAAAAGAGTGCCACCCTCAAACTGCCCGAAATTATAGCCTCATTTACGTCCTTATCCAGGTCCTCAGAGGCCCTTGCTCTGGGTGACAACCCAAAGCCACTGTGTGGCCGCTGCTTGACTCCACCATGAGTCACAATTGCTCCTTGTGGCACATCTGGCATTAGCTGATCTCTGGGCTTCATAAGGCAGAGTGGAATGTTTCCCGAGTTTTCCACATGCATTCTGCCTCGTCCGGGACCCGCAGTCACACACGCACCTTCCTCATCAGCTTGGCATGTGGCGTCTCTCCTTTCCACTCTCTTGCGCAGTAACTGAGCAGATCAACCTCAGCCTCGACGCTGAGGTTCCCTGGAACAAATCAAACAGAAAAGGGAGTTGAGTTTCCCTTTCCTCGCCCTTCTCAAACCCTCTCTGCATCTTAGAGGTAAGAAAACATCTGAAAATACTTACTTTTGAATTTTCTCTGCAGATAGCCAATCCACCTGAAAGATAAAAAAAGGAATGGCAATGTCAGATATCTGCTTGGAAGGGCAACAGTCTGTTTGTAAACCGGAAGCTGATCCGACCACCTACCATTTCAGCCAGTGCCCTAGATCACAGTGCATCCTCCTGCAGTAGCACAGGGCAGCCACCAGACAAGCCGCTGCCAACATCACTGACCCCTTCGCTAGCCTCCACGCGGCACCCAAAGCCTGGCTGGTGGCTAGCATCCAGGAGTGAACCTGGTCACTTCCTAGAAAAAATAAAAAATAAAAAAGTCACAATTACACAAGTATGCTTTGTTTAAGGGGGAAAATGTATTGGCTAATCTTACCCGCAAAGTCTCTATCACTGATGACATGAACGGTTTTTATTTTTTAATTTATTTTATAAAGATTTTACTTATTTATTTGTCAGAGAGAGAGCACAAGCAGGGGGAGCAGCAGGCAGAGGAGAAGCAGGCTCCCCACTGAGCCCGATGCAGGACTCGATCCCAGGACCCTGGCATCATGACCTGAGCCAAAGGCAGATGCTGCACCGACTGAGCCACCCAGGCACCCCCAATCACATAAACAGTTTTTGAAATATTAAAAAATTCAATCTGAAAGTTAAAGAAACCCCAGTTCTCCAATAATCAATGTTGTATGTAAGAATATCTTTGTTCCACAGAATTTGCAAGGGATAACCGTGAAGAAGATAGCTTTTAGAATCCCTTGGACCATTCAAAAGCTGCCTCCCCTATACCCTGGCTGTGTGACCACAGGAACCTAACTTCTCTCCTCTGAATTGTCTTGACTGTGATATTGGGGAAAACGCTGACCTCACTGGGGCAAGACGGAATGAATGATTTCAGAACCAGCACAGTACGCCCAGGCACTGCGCTGTGTATCTGTTGAATCCGAGAATGGTGCTAGGAATTCTGCTCAATACCGGGGGCCTCCAGCGATGCCACCACCAGGCATTTCTGCCCCCTCGGATATTCTTTAATCATTATGAGCAATTACAGATGGCGTCACCATCACACACACACACACAATGACTGACCCAAACAGCAGGCTGGACATCGTTTCCAGGAAGTGGACCCCTTAGAAGAGTGGTGAGGTGGGGACAGGTGTGCTGTGCATGGTATGTGCTCCCATTCCTGACGTGACCAGGGGAAATGAATGGGCCAGAGAGCTCCAGCTGTGTACTCACAGGATTTTACTATGTGCAATTGTATTATGCTGGGGCATTTAAAATACTGAAGTACAGATGAGGAAGAGAACTTTGGAAGAGTGGCCCAGCCTCCCAGCGTTCATTGTGAACTCATTCCCTCTCTGGCACAAGGTTTGGTAAAATTCCAGTGATTAATAGGAAACGCCTCAGCAATTCAGGATCTATAATTGAAGCATTTTTTTTAAAAGTCGGTTCTACGAGATGTCCATCAACAGATGAATGGATAAAAAAGAGGTGGTATATATACACAATGGAATACTATGCAGCTATCAAAAGAAATGAAATCTTGCCATTTGCGATGACGTGGATGGAACTAGAGGGTATTATGCTTAGCGAAATAAGTCAATCGGAGAAAGACAACTATCATATGATCTCCCTGATATGAGGAAGTGGAGAGGCAACGTCAGGGGTTTGGGGGGTAGGAAAAGAATAAATGAAACAAGATGGGATCGGGAGGGATACAAACCATCAGAGACTCTTAATCTCACAAAACAAACTGAGGGTTGCTGGGGGGTTCGGGAGAGGGGGGTGAGGTTAGGGACACTGGGGAGGGTATGTGCTAAGGTGAGTGCTGTGAAATGTGTAAACCTGGTGATTCACAGACCTGTACACCTGGAGCTATAAATACATTATATGTTTATTAAAAAATAAAAAAAATAAAATAAAAAAAAAGTCGGTTCTACACCCAATGTGGAACTTGAACTCACTACCCAGAGATCAAGAATCACATGCTCCACAGCCTAAGCCAGCTACATTCCCCAATTTTAGCATTTTTGATCATAAGAATATTTGATACATTTAAGCTCTGATAGGAAAGAATTTACCAGTGAATAAAGAAATAAAGTTACCAAAAAAGAAAAAAGAACTAAAGGTACCAATAACTAAGAATAGATACACTTACAAATGACTTAAAAGGGCATTTTCAAAAGCAGGTACTCATCCGTTTAGAACAATTTATTCGCTGTTCATTATATATTTACGCCTGCCTAGCTATTTGGTAAAACTTTTGGGGAGTTGTTTAAAAATGTAACACGATACTACCTTTACATCAATAATTTAGATGTTCATTAATTCAGAGTGATTTCCCAACTGTGAAAAATCTGACATGTGCAAATAGTTCTAGTAAATCCTTAAACTCAGCAAACACTAGAATTTTGTCTAGATGATACATAATTTCTTTTAATGTATTTATAAACATTTTCTAGGAAAATGGAGTATTATACATGGTTTTACAGTGTTTTTTCTCTTCATACAAAGTAGACGTCTTTTCTTATCACTACTTAGAGGTCTACATTCTTCTTTTTAGAAAACACCTAACATTTCAGTGTAAAGACAGACCATCATATGTGTACAGTCACTGCCTTAATGATAAATCATTTGGATTGTTTTCCATTTCTCACTCTTGCAAACATTGCCGAGACAGACAGTCTCCTCCAACGGTCCTTGTGGGCCCATGGGGGCTTTTAGGATAATTTCAAGAAGAGGAAACTCTGAACCAAGGGGAATGTACATTTTTAGTTTTGACAGATATTGCCAAAGTGCTTTCCAAAACAAACTGTCGGTCCACACCCCCACCAGTCCGAGTGCCCGCGCTGTCCCTCTACCCCGGTCCTGGGCCCCGGTTGTGATTTCTCTCTGGAGTCTGCACTCCCGCAGGAACACAGGCACGTTTCTTCTTCTGGGAAGAGCCTGGGAACAATCTGCCCGCTCGCCGTCGGCCGGTGCTCATTGTTGCGTGGGCTGGGAGGACCTGACGTCACCGAGGTGGGGTCCGGCTGCTGCCCCCGCCATGGGGCACACTGCTCTCATTTGTCACAGACTCTAAGCAACCCCTGGCATCCTTTGGGGCCTGCCAGGTCCCTTAGGGCTCTAGACTTGAGACCCCCCCAAACAGGGCCCTCTCTTGAGCATGAGCCTCTCTGGCAGCTGCCCGGGGCCTCCACGGGATCCCCTACAGATGACAGCGTGCCTGAACCCCACGCACACGGACAGCACACTTCCCTGGCCACTATCCGGAAAGTAAACCCCACTCCAACCCAAAAAGGCAGAGAGGATCAACTTATCAGGAAAACACAAAACAAAACACGTGAGGGCTCCGTACGCCTCTCCCGTGCAAAGCTAGCACGCAAGCTCACACTCCTGGGCCTCCCTCTACGTAACTGGCAGTTTTTGGTCTAGTGGCTTAACCCAGGAAGGGCCAGGGAGTGCCATCATGGGGGCTGGGGTGGGCGCCGGGGAGCAGCCTGGGGGGGGACCCCGAAGCCCCATGGGAGTGGATGCAGCTCAGACAATCCTGAGGTGTTCACGCAAGACACAATGACATTACGAAGGCCAGGCTTCTTTATCTAAGGAGAGGAAGTGCAGTGTGTTGGGGTTTTGTTTTTTTTTTTAAGATTTTATTTATTCATTTGAGAGAGAGAGCACAAGCAGGGGGAGAGGGAGAAGCAGACTCCCTGCTGAGCAGGGAGCCTGATGCAGGCTGGATCCCTGGACCTGAGATCATGACCGAAGCCGAAGGCAGACGCTTGACGACGGAGCCACCCGGGCATCCCGGAAGCGCGGTGTTTCTGTGGGAAAAGGTATGGCTTCGCTGGTCATTAGAATAGCTACAGTCTGAGTTTTGCTATAAGCCTGAGCCGTGCTAGGGATTCACTCCGTCCCGCTCCTGTAGGCCTTCTTCCGCCCCGGACCCATCCCAGCCCTGCTCCTGCCCTGGTGACTTCACATCCCTGAGCGTCTGTATCTCAGCCTGGGGATGGCCACAGAGCCTGGCACCGCGGGAGTGCGGCCCGCACGGGAACGGAGCCGTTGTGAGTGGGGTGGAAAGTTTAGGGAAGCACTGAGCATGCCGTCTGGCAAACCCTGACGCCCCAAGTCCCTGTCCCTTATCATTTGTTTTGCTATCAGTCCAACCACCCTTCTTCTGCAGATGAGGGAGCCGCGTGGGAGAGGAAGACTGAATACGAAGGCTGTAAGGCTGGGATTCAAAGCCCAAGCAGTGCGGTACCTGAGCCCTTGGCTCTCCTGACCATGCATTATGCCCCTGAGTCAGTCTTCAAATTAGCTTTGCTACAGCAAGTGGAATTGAGACTCTTTAAAAAGAGACTTAAAAATCCATCTCCTGCCCCTGCATGTATCAGTAACCGGATTACAACTCAAAAGCAGCAGCCACAGACGAGGACACCGCACACGAGGGCCCCGCGGAATGCTACCATCATCACGACTTGGGGGATCTCATGGTCAAATCTCATTTCCCCAAACACAGCAGAGGGGATAAAACTTCCCATGTCGGGACCTTCACTGCCCCCCGACCCCGTCCGCCAGCCCGGCAGTGACCTGCCTGGCCTCCCCTCCCCTGTCCACGAAGACCAGGGCTGGGGCAATGCTGACCCCGACAAGCACCGGGAAAAGAGAGCTGGTCCGACCGCCAGGGATTCTGTCATTCAACCTAATACAAAGAGGGACAAGGACAAGAACCACGGGGTGGGGGGGTGGGAGGGCGAGGTGTGGGGGCCGCAGGTTTGGCAATGAAGTGTCTCCAGGAAGTGGGGGCTGCAAGGAGGCGGGGGGGACAGAAGCCCTGCTGGAATTAAGGATCTGGTTGTCGCCCATCTTTGTCAAGAGAGAAAAAAACGAAACTTCATTTCAGTACTTTTGGAATGGCCCATCTGGGTGGTAGTCCTGTTGGAAAGCGGATTAACTAGGCCTCACAGCACAAAGAGAGGCGAGAGAGCCCAGGCCACACAGTGGGGAAAGGACGCTCCAGAGTGGGTCGGACCTTGGAGGAATGATGGCAGCGGAGCCTTGCGAAGTCAACAGCGCGGCTATCAGAAAGTCAGATCTCACCTGCCGCCTCTCAAACTATATATGGCGACGACACCACGACTAGAAGTGAAAAAAAAAAAGCTTTTTTTTTTTTTTTTTGTGGAAAAAGTAAATTAAAAGTTTTTTCCATTCTCAAAAAACAACAAAAAAAAAAATAAAACAAACAAAAAAACAAGACAACAAAAAAAACAAAAAAAAAAAAAACCCTGAAAA